GGGTGGCTCAGTCGGTGAAGCATCCGGCTTCGGCTCAGGTCATGGTCTCGGGATTCGTGGGTTCGAGCCCCGCGTCCTGCTCTGTGATGCTAGCTCAGAGCCTGGAGCCTGCTTCAGATTCTGTCAGTCTGTCTGTCTGTCTGTCTGTCTCTCTCTCTCTGCCCCTCCCATACTTATAGAGAATATTCTCTCTCTCTTTCTCTCTCTCTCTCTCTCTCTCAAAAATAAATAAACGTTAAAAAACAAAACAAAACAAAAAAAACCCTGCTTCTCCATTACTGCTTGCCCTTTTTTGCCGTGTTGATTGATGCTGTGCTAGGGTACCATGACCCAGAGCTAGTAATCTGTTGAACTCTGGCTGGTTTCCTTTTCTCCCCAGGGCCTCGAAGGATTGAGGGAATCTTTTGGCTCACTAGTGAAGAAAAATCTTATGAAACAGCATTTGAAACTATATCCCTGCTCTCTTAGCATAGAGCGTAAAACATGGTGGTTACTTGTTCATGATTATGGAAAGATGAACCCCGATCATGTGCCCTGGTGCCTCCAGCTACGCTCCTTGTTGCTTTGCTTCTTCCTAAAATTTGTCTCACCAGCCCTTTGACAAGAACTCAACTCCCACTATGGTGTCTTATTTGTTTAAAAAAATGTCTGATATTACTTGGAGTTCAGCTTTAAAAAGACAAAGATGAGGGACTAACGATTTCACCCAAACCCATATTACTCAAACCATCAAAAGTTTTACCTTCTGTCTTACAAGATGTTTGGAAATGTACAGGCTGAGAGGGATCAGACTCCAGAGCTGGTTGACTTTTTTTTTTTCAACGTTTTTTATTTATTTTTGGGACAGAGAGAGACAGAGCATGAACGGGGGAGGGGCAGAGAGAGAGGGAGACACAGAATCGGAAACAGGCTCCAGGCTCCGAGCCATCAGCCCAGAGCCCGACGCGGGGCTCGAACTCATGGACCGCGAGATCGTGACCTGGCTGAAGTCGGACGCTTAACCAACTGCACCACCCAGGCGCCCCAGAGCTGGTTGACTTTTATTGTATAGGGTCTTGTCACTGGAACTTGCTGCTGCCTGAAAGTTAAATATTTTAGATCCAGTATTTTCTTCCAAAACAAAAGTAGTGATTATTTGTTTCTTAAAATGACATGAGCCATTAACCCTAAAGGATTTAGTACTGGCCTTTTTGGGCACTAATGATCAAGAGTTTTTAAAAACTCTTTTCAAAAGATAACATGATGAAATCACAACTGCTTTTTGATTTTCTGAATAGCTAGCTCAGGTGAGTCCTTTTGTATCAGAGGAGGAATATTTTAAAGACACTGGGACAGCACCTTGGATTGCATTCATAACTTTCTTCCATTTATCTTCTTGGCACAGCTAGTCCTTAACCTGGAGAGAATCAATAGGTTCTCTGGATGGTCCTCAAAATCTACACTTGAACATTAGAGTGGGAAGGGGTCTTTATGATGGTCCAGATCACCCCTGCTTATAGCAGGGAAAGGGGGTGAGGCAAAGACAGGAGTGGAGACCCAACTCTAGTTTTTAAGTGTGGCGATGAGCAGGCTTGAGGATCTAAGTATATTGATAGCTAATCTAAGGTCTATCGTAGCCTACGATGGGCCAGCTTAGTCTCCCCTAAACTGAAGTGGAACCAGCCCAACTTTTCTCTGAAAGTTTGCCACTTGTATATTCATTTTAAGAAAAATATGGTGTTTTGTCTAATTTGGCAAATGAAGGCTTATAGTTTGCTGACATTCAACACAATACTTTGTTTCTTTCTCTCTTGCAGACCATTCAGTGTGGCTCTGAACCTGGTAGGTGTGCTAGGGAATGGGTATTTGGGGCTTTATACTAACAGAACAGTGGACTTTTAGAGGGCCCAAATCCAGGCACTGGGTCATTGGAGACCAGGGAGAGGGTGAAACATTGCTTTGTTAGCCAACGTGGATGAAGCCTCTACCCAGCAAGGCAGAGCTCCCAGTGTTTCAGATGGGCTGGCTTCCTGGCCAGTAAGAGGGGCACAGGCAGGGCCGGAATCCCCGTTCATGGTGGAAAGTGAAGGCTGCCGCTCTGGGAGATCAAGTGCTGTGATAAGGAGGTCACTTACAATGGAGAACAGGAAGCAGCTGTCTTAGAGAAGGAGGAGTGTTTGAGATGGTAGCCTTTGAAGAATGAGTGGGCTCCTGCCCAAGAATTGTGGATGGAAAAAGGTGAGCTGGAGGAGGGTTGGGGCCACCAGTGATTAGGAAGTGGGAGTTGTGTGGGCCAGCTGGCTGGAGTCCAGGCTGATACATGAGGGACAAGCATGTCAAATTTGCTAAATACATCCTTAAGTGCACAGGCGCATGGGGTGGTCCCAAGTGCCCTGTGGGGTGGGGCCGGAAGGTTACCAATCTCCTTGGCCATAAATCAGCCAGCACTAAGAGACGTGTGCTGCCTTAGCAGGAAGAAGAGATGAATAGGGAGCAAAGGATGGATCGGGGTGGGCCACTCAGAGGAGATGGCGTTGGGTAGGGCCAGGGAGGAGAGCATCTTAGGCAGTTTTGCCTCTTTCCAGGACCGTCTCCAGAGTGGATGGTCCAACACACTCTGACCCCAGGAGACTTGAGGGACCTCCGAGTGGAACCTGTTAGAAGCGGAGTTGCAATGGAGGACTATTCAATTTTGATGAATGTGAGCTGGGTACTCCGGGCAGATGGTAAGTCTGCATCAAGCAATAAAGCATCTACTAAAGCAGAAAAGTGCAGATTGTGTGACCCATTAATTCCACCGCTGGCAGGAACCAAACAGAATACTGTAAATACACAAGTGCACCAAAAGCCACATACTGTGGTCCCCTCTTATCTGTGGTTTTACTTTCCATGGTTTCAGTTACTCACGGTCAACCAGAGGCTGGAAGCAGACGGTCCTCCTTCTGACGTATCTTCAGAAGGTCCATAGTAGCCTAATGCTATGTCAGCACCAACCACATTCACCTCGCTTCACCTCATCACATAGAAGATGGACGAGCACAGCACAATATTTTCAGACAGAGATCACATTCACATAACTTTTATTACAGTCTGTTGTTATAATTGTTCTATTTTATTATCAACTATTGTTAATCTCTTGTTGTGCCTGATTTATAAATTAAACTTTATCATAGGTATGTGTGTATAGGAAAAAAATGTAGATAGGGTTCAGTACTCTCCACAGTTTTAGGCATCCACTGGGGGTCTTGGAACATATCCCCTGTGAGTAAGGGGGTGGGGTGCTGCTGTACTAGATTATTCTTGGTAGCATTATTCATAACAGCCAAAAAATGGAATGCATCAAATGCCTGACGGTAGAATTGGAATCACAGAACCAACCCGATGCAGCAATGAGTATGATGGTCTGTCACTAAACACAGTATGGATGAATGAATCTCGCAAACATAAGACACCAGATTCCAGAGTCCACATCCACATCTGAATGCAGAACTAAGTGGTTGGAAGCCACAGTAGTGGTTCTTCTTGGGTAGGGAGCAACTGACAGCACGAAGGGCATTCCTGGTGTGTTTCTCAGCCTGGGTACTGGCTACGTGAGTGTGACAACCCATCATGTGGTCTACTTACGATCTGTGTACTCTTTGGTTTGTTATATCTTGTGGAAGAAAACAGAGTGAGTGCAGAGATGATTTCCCTCTCCCCCGCCCCAGCCCCCAACCACCACCAAGTTTAGGAAAAGTGCTGGCTCAGGTACATTTCTGTTTCCCAAATGGCACCATGAAAGTCCTGGCATTTCCCCCAAGGCAGCTTGCAAGTTCTTTCAATGAACCAATCCTGGGGGCCTAAAGCCCATGTCTCTGCTTTCCACCCACTCAATTCAGTTCAATTCCATCAAGTCAGGAATTCAGGAATGCCAGGCACAGAGAGGTGAGGCGGCCACAGTTCCCACCCAGTAGGGCTCTCAGAGGACGGGGGGAGGCAAGCAGAGGGGCACAGGCTCAGTGTCAGGGGGTCCCAGAAGGAGCTGTGCTCCATCTGAATGGGGTGGAGGCAGCGGGGAGCTGGCGAGGGTCCTCAGGGAGCACCGTAACTAGGTGGTGCAGTGAGGCAATGGCCCTACACCAGTACAGAGTGAGCATTTGCATTTGTTAGCTGTTATTACAGGAGAGCTTGGCCTTGAAGGAGTGGTCAGCCTTCCAGGCAGGGAATAGGGGGAGGGAGGGGCAGTCAGAACAGCATGGTTTGGTGATGACACTCTGAGGGGCCTGTTCCTCTTAAAAGACACCCACGGTAGTGCAGAGCCAGAGTCCCCTTTGCAGGATCCTGTGAAATTGAGGGTTACCAGTGAGGAGGAAAGAGCTTGGGTTTTGGAGTTAAATCCATATCTGCCACTGGTGAGCTTTGTAAGCTTAGGCAGTGCTCCCTGAAATCCCCCAAGCCTCACTCACCCTATCTGTAAACAGAGGACAGCAAAGGTGTCTACCTTACAGGACTGTTGTAAATATGAACTGGGATAAGGCATGTAAACCCTCCAGCATCAAGCTGGCCGCATAGTAGGTGCTAAATAAACAGCTGCCTTCTTGCCTGTCTCTGCAGCCAGCATCCGCTTGTTGAAGGCCACCAAGATCTGCGTGACAGGCAAGAGTAACCTCCAGTCCTACAGCTGCGTGAGGTGCAATTACACAGAAGCCTTCCAGACTCAGACCAGACCCTCTGGCGGCAGAGTGAGCGCGCTGAGGCACTTCGGCTAATTGTCGTTAAAGCTCGCCCCTTTGCTTGGGGGGCAGACGTGACGTGCAGTACACACAGGCTACTGAGCGGCCACAGCTTGGAGCCTGGAGTAGGATGCCTGGGTTCAAATCCTATTTTTGGCCACTTCTGGGCTGTGTGCCGTGGGCAAGTCAGCATCTCTGGGCCTCAGTTTCCCCATCCACAAAGTGAGGGGAGCTGAACTTAAATTATATCCTGGCTCTAAAAGTTTACACTTCTCTGATTCTGTGACTTACACTGGCAAATGGTGTGAGCTCTGTTCCCATAGTAGACATCAGCTGGAGACAGAAGTTTCAGCAGTAGGTAGAGGAATGCAATTATAAATGGAAAGGGCAGCACACAAAGGCACTACATTTCTGCGTTGCAGTGCTTTGGGAATTCAGGGGTTCTTTGCTTTGCCTTGCAGTGGACGTTTTCCTACATAGGTTTTCCTGTGGAGCTGAACACAGTCTACTTCATTGGGGCCCACAATATCCCCAACGCAAATATGAATGAAGACAGCCCCTCCATGTCTGTGAATTTCACCTCACCAGGTAACTCCCTCACTCCTCTGTCATCCTCTGTCTTGCAGGGATGCTTGCTGTCTGGTGTGTGGTTTGGCACAGAGAGGCTGGGGTGCCTCGACAAGGCATTTGGCTTCGCCGAGTCTGGTTTCCTCGTGAGACGCAGTAGTGACTATGCCTCACTCACAGAGTGGGGGAGAGGAGGAAGTCAGATAAAAAGTAGGGAAAAGCCTGTTCCTTTGTGTCAGGCACCAGCTGAGCACCTGACGTGCATCCTGTCACCAAAGCTTCCAACAGCCCTGAGGTTGTTGGATAGATGAAGACATTGAGAGCTTAAGTGACTTGCCCTGGGTTACACACACAGGAAGAGTGAAGCTGACGTCCCAACCCTGGGCCTTCTTGATCAGTGACTTTAACCATCTGCCACTAATGCAGAATGTTGTGGGTACAATGTGGGCTCCAGTGTTGGCTGGCTTCCTCACTGGCTGTGGTGTTTGAGGAGTGGCTGGGTCTCTGAGGACACATGGACCCCAGTCGGCCCCCGGGGCTGTCAGTGAAATGCAGGTGGCACTGGGTTGAACACTGGGTTATTTCCCCTATGCTGCAGCACACAACCAGCCCTCCAGTGTCACGCCTTCAGGGTCACACACGGGGCTGCCGCGCGGATGAGACAGGATCGTGTGTCATGTGTAGAGGGGCCAGCATGGTGCCCGGCTACAGTGGTTCCCATGCCACCCTCACCTGGGATGGGTCACCTGTTCTGTACTCCACTCCTGTCCTCTGCCTCTGGCAAGGTGTCCAAGCCAAATGGGGTAAATTTCTGATTCCTTGCTGTTCTTTGAGAGTGTGGTCCAGGGTGTTCTTTTTGCCCCACAACTTACTACATAGTAGTTTCCAGCTTTCTTGATGCGACCAAACCCCATTTTAAAAAACATAAATGTCTTATTTTGGAGTAATTTTAGCTTTACAGAAAAGTTGCAAAGATAAAACAAAGAACTGTGTGGATGTCCAAAGGATCCCCATATAGCTCTCAGGCAGTTTCCCTGATCATTCATTCACCTTTGATGTCACCGTGGTACGTTTATCAAAGCTAAGAAACCAACATGGGTACATCCCTATTAACTAAACTCCAGACTTTATTTGGATGTCACCTGCTTTTCCATGAATGCCCCCTTTTTGTGCCAGTCCCATTTAGTCCTCGTGTCCTTCGGTCTCCTCTGGTAACAGGTTTGAGTCTTCCTTTGTTCTTCAGGACCTTGACAATCTAGGGTGCCGGCCAGGCATCCTGCAGAACGTCCCCTAGTCTGGGTTTGTCTGATATTTGTCTCCTGATTAGATTGGGGGTGTGAGTTTTTGGAGAGACAGTGCAGAGGTCGAGTGTCCTTGTCCTCGCTTCCTATCAGGGGCGGGTGACATACACACCACGTCACTGGTCATGTTCACCATCGTCACTTGGTTAAGTGGTACCTGCCAGGCATCTCCCTTGTAAATCTACTGATTTTCCATTTCTCTACTATGACTTTTTTAAAAAAGCAAATGACTAAATGTCCCCCTATTCTGGGGTAGGGGTGTGGGGTGGATTGAGTTCCACTTCCTGGAAGAGGCGGTATTTACATATATTATCAAACCTTTTCAAAGGTTCAAGTCTTCTCCCGGGGATCATAGATACTATTCTGATAAAGGTTGTATTTAAATTAGACTCTGGTTATCACTTCGTGGGTAGTCTTCTGTTTAACCACCAAATGCCAAATGTTAGCATCCCATTTAAATTTGCTATCTTACCTCACATCTTGAGTATTCTGGCAGTTTGTTACAAGTGTGGTAAGCATGTGTGCATGTGTGCTTGCTGGTGAGGGAGTGAAGCACTTCCTTTTTTTTTTCTAACGTAAAAACTTCCATTCAAATCTCCAGGCTGCCTAGACCACATAATGAAATACCAAAAAAAGTGCATCAAGGCAGGTAAGTAAATACATGTTTGCTTTCGTCATTAGAGGAACCTGGAGCCAGCACAACCCAATCCATCTTCCATGAAGAAACTGAGGCCCAGAGCAGGGGAGTTCTGTGTCCAAGTTGCACGGAGAGGGCTGATCCCTGGCCAGCACTCCTGGCCAGCACTGTGCCGACTCAGTCAAGCAGCCTGTCCAGAGAAGGACCCATTCTGAGTAGGTTTAGGTAGTGAGCCAACAGTCACAGAAAAACACCCGCTGTACAAACTGCACTTACAGTGGTGCTGATTGGAGGCCCTTCCTGACTGGAGGGGAATCTGTAAGTCCTTCCACTGACCTCTGGCCCTGGGGGCCCAATGAACCTTCCATTTGGATTAGCAAGCATTCGAGGTGGGAGTGTTAGCTAAAGTAATGACCTCAAAGCATATTCTCAACTTGTGTCTTCACTGGAGTTCACCTCTCACAGGCTAAACTATTAGAATCTGCCTCTATCCTTGGAGTTTTGAAATAAGTATCTTGAGGATAATCAGTCCTAAGTGTCCGATTTCCAAGGATTTCACAAGGGTGCTTGTAAATTTCTGGGTAATACAGTCTTATGATGCTAATGAGGCTAGTGGCACATGAGGGAACCAATCCCCAACTTTTACGCACCCCCAACCCAGCGGGCATCCCTGTGCACCCCATCAGACTGAACTGCACACAGACTCCTTCGTGGAAGGCAGACTTGGAGCTTATGCTTCCTTTCTTGCCTCCCACCAAAAGAGATCTGGATTGTGGAGGGCACAGTGGGTGTGGGGAGCTCTGAGGTCCTTCCATCAGTCCTAGACCCCCCCTCCAAAGACGGTTCTGAGCTAGGGCCTGACATGCTCTCCCCCGTGGGGAAAACACCACACACTCCCATCTCTTCTGTTCCTGGAAATTAACCTGGTACTGATTTGCAAGTCCCAAAAATCAAACAACTGACTTTGTCTCACTGAGTAGGCCTGTCAGGGTATCCACTCGCTCTATAACCTTAAACATGTCTTCTGGCCTGGGGCTCCTCCTCCCCATCCTGGAAAGGAAAAAATGCTGACCTCAACCCTTAACTCAAAATGGATGTTGAGAATTGAAGGGAGTAGTAGAACCCCATCTGTGCCTCCAACACCACCCCCCGCCCCCAGCCCAGGGAAGCTATCTCAGCAAAGTGGTGATATGGGGCCCCTAAACTTTCTTGGGCAGCAGGTACTTTGCGATGCTGGGAGCAAGGACTAGTAAAAGGTACACTGTGCAGAGAGCCCTTGGATGCACGCATGCCAGAGAACTTAGATATGTTTTGGCCAAGCCCTTTGGGAGACTTAAATGAGGGGCAGTTTGCAACACCGTCCATGTGATTCTCTCTGGACTCAGGAAGTCTGTGGGATCCCAACGTCACTGCCTGCAAGAAGAACAAGACGGTGGTGGAAGTGAATTTTACAACCAGCCCCCTTGGAAACAAATACATGGCTCTCATCCAAAATCGCATTGTAATCGGGTTTTCTAACGTGCTGGAGGTACCTCTTCCCTTCGTTTCCTAACACCACCCCCAGCCTTGCTCACCTTGCTGACGAGGAAAATGCAAGTCCCCTAGGATTCCCTTGACAGGCTCTCCATTGTAACGGCACAGGCGGGTGGGTCCCTGATCTAGGTGTGCGGGGCTGTTTTGACTCCTTTAACAAATGAACACAAGTCCCTGGGAATCTAAAACCAACCAGAGGTAGACGTATCCGAAGTAGGAAATGAATGCTTATTCACGCAGAGTCTGAGGAGTTGAGTCAGTTTGGGAAGAGCAGTCTTTTCACTGGCAATCTTGGTTCTCACTCCCCTGGCTCATGATTCTCCATGCTGTCTCATTCAATCTGCCCCAGAACAAACCCCCAACGCGAACTTCTGTGGTGATCCCGGTGACTGGGGAGAGTGAAGGTGCTATGGTCCAGGTAAGGCTCACCGAGCCGTCCGCGAGGGCAGGGGCGCTTGAGGGACTGGCTGCTGCTGCACAGGCCACCGGTCACGGGCACTGATGAGCTCCCACCCCCGGTTCGCTTCTGCCGGCTGCCTGCACTAAGCAACAAGTGGGGAACCCTTGCCTCATTCGTTATGGAGGCAAAGGTGGAAGCAAACCTTCGGGCCATGATCCCTTTTGCTTTTATTAGTGGCTATTGACTTTCCGTTTTAGTCACAGAGCCTCAGAGAACTTCCGAGACAGGAGTACCATTTAATTTTCCCAAGTTTCGGTTTTAACTGCAAAATGAAGCAACAAAGGATTTAAAATCAGAAGGTTTGGGTTTCGAGCAGCGTATGAACTTTGAAGGGCAGCTGCCTGTCCTCTCGGCATGAGTCTAGTCGGCTGGAAAACAGGAAGCTGGCCCGGGCAGATGCTCTCAGGTCTCTTTCAGCTCCGAGTTTATGATGTGGGGACATGGAGGGTCATAGAGGGACACAGCCACACCCAAGGCATAAGGAGCTTTTGTTTTTCATTCCCTGGAACATAAAGGTAGCACTCAGGCACGCCAGAGGGAGCAGATACCTGTCTGCATATTATGACTGCACCCCTTTTCCAGGGAACCAGACTTTCCTAGTCCCGGAGGATATATCTGTCAATAGGAGCTCTACTGCTCCGAGTTGTTTTTTTTTTTTTTTTAGAGGAAATATTTGTATATGTATTAGGCTGTGACCTAACCCTTTTAGATAAGGAAGCCAACATGTTAGCAACATGTACAAAGTTTACATTCACAATTCAGGAGTCAGGTGTTTGGTCTCAGGTTGCTGGTTTGGATTTTAGGGCTTTGTTATGGAAGTGTGACCAAGGCAAAAAATGTGTTTTGTTTTGTTTTTTTCACCCTATTACAATGCTGGGGTGGGGGTGCGGTTCAAACCAGGAGAGAAAGGGGGGAGACATTTTGGTGGGAGTAGGCATTATGCTGAGCTTCTGCTCTGAAGCATGATGCGAGCTTCCCAAGCCTCTTGTTTTTCCCTCAGCTGACTCCGTATTTCCATACTTGTGGCAATGACTGCATCCGACGCAAAGGAACAGTTGTGCTTTGCCCACAGACTGGCATCTCCTTCCCGCTGGATGGTCGTAAGTGCCCAGCCATTTGTGCAGGGTGATCAGAGAGGTGCAGGGTGATCAGAGAGGTTCAGGGCCTGAGAGGCCCAGCAGCACTACCCCATTCAATACGGGCCAGGGTGGGCATGCACCTGCAGGAGGGTGCAGGAGCCCCTGCTGTGTACATGGTGAGGGGCTGGGGTGCAGGGGAAGATGTCCACACCACCGTGCCAGAGGCCCTGACAGCTGATCGGGAATGGAGGCTTCATTTGCGAATCCACCACGAGATCCTTTATGAAAGAGGATGCACACAAGAAGGGGGAAAAATAAACAGCGCAGAATGGATGTTCATTGTGCTATAAGGACCTACTGAAAAGTCAGTGGCGCTAAAGGACTGAGTCCATGAGGGAATGTGCATTTCACCGCACTGTGATTTTCTTACCAGCCTCAGTGGCCCGGCCTATTCCTGTAATTTGATATGGTCCCTCAGCCACAAATTAGCAATATTGGCCCCCAAAGACACACCTCACTGATGCCTGAGAGCAGCATATTTGGGGAAAATGTCCTTCTGGATTTAGAGATGGTAGTTCTCTTATTACAGACAGACAAATGTTCCCAGAACTAGCCCGGGCGGGAGTCAAAAGTTGCAAAGTGTTACTCTCAGAAACTCAGCCCAACAAACTGACAACCTAGGTGCCTAACAGTCCTGACTTCCGTGTGGGCACAGTGCCTATGCATTCCTGAGCTTACCTGACAGATATTCCTGTGGGAGGTGGCATTACCCACCGTGTTTGTCAGTCTAACAAAACAGCCTTGAAAAATGGCATCTGTGTGTCCCATGTATTAAGTAATCACACTGAGAATAACATCAATTCATCAAAGAACAAAAAACCTGAATGCAAACTCTGGTTACCAGGGTGAAAACGCCTGTATGTAAGTGCAGTAAGAAGCCAAAATGATTTTGGCAGAACTTTCTTAACCTCCTGGGTCCCATATCCCTTTTGAGAATCTAACAAATGGCCTGGACACTCTACGGAAAAATGCACCAATCTGAAGACCCCCTAGAGATCTACTGACCCTTGGTGTTAATAGGAATCTAAACTTCAGGGTGCCTGGGTGGCTCAGTCGGTTAAGTGTCTGACTTCGGCTCAGGTCTTCTCTCATGGGAACCACGAAAGTCGGAGCTCCCGGCGGCCCTCTGTGCTGACAGCTTGGAGCCTGGAGCCTGCTTCCGATTCTGTGCCTCCCTCTCTCTGACCCTGCCCCCATTCATGCTCTGTCTCTCTCTGTGTCTCTCTGTCTCAAAAATAAATAAACGGGGCGCTGGGTGGCTGAAGGTCTAAGGTCTGACTTCAGCCAGGCTCACTACTGGATTCGCGGTCCGTGAGTTCGAGCTCCCCGCTTTGGTTCTGGGCTGATGGCTCAGAGCCTGGAGCCTGTTCTCCATCTGTGTTCTCTGCCCCTGCCCTGCTCATGCTCTTTTCTCTGTCCCAAAAAATAAATAAACGTCAAAAAAAAAAAAAGAAAATAAAAAAATAAATAAATAAACGTTAAAAAAAAAAAAGAAATCTAAACTGCTACAGAGTATAGAGTAAAAATCTTGTTTCCAAATAGGAGATAAATTTGGCTTTGTTTTGCTGAAAGTAAATCAACTTTGTTTTCTCCAGGCAGAAGCATGATGGGTGGCTGGCAGCCTTTCCTCCTCCCAGCCCTGCTGGGGGCCACAGCGTTGCTGGCGGCTGGGATCTACTTAATATGGAGGCACAGTAAGTGTTATGATTAGTTCTTTAAAGAAACCTGAATGAGGAAATAACAGTGAATTTTTTAAAAGATTCCTCCAGAAGCAGTTACATTTTGGCATCAAGGCAAGAGCACTGATGTAATGCCCTAGAACTCTCCAAAAATACTGATAATGATGACTTAGTCACAACCAAGGCAAAGCAGGGATGGGGACCTCTCGATCCGGTGACTACCACCGGTTTCATTTTTACCATTGGGGCACCTACAAGCACTACAATGGGCACAAGACAGCGAATAGCGAATTGCATTTTTGCCTGTAACAGGTACTCCAAGCTAGTTCCTACTTTTTAAAAATAATTGTCCCATAGCATAAGAACAATACTCACTTGAATTCGTGTACCTCAGGGTCCTTGCCAACTCTTTAAACATCAAGAACTTAAATACAGAAGTCAGAGTATTTATACAGATACACGCGAGAAGGAAGCCCACTGCTTCTCCTTTTACCGTATGAGTCCTTTGTGATGTTGTGGACAGAACAAGATTAATCTCATAACCTAAGTAAGAAAGCCATGTGGAACCCTGACCTTGGGAATACTTCTATTCAGGGGATATGATCTGGCCTGTATTAGCTATAGTACTTTCGTATGTAGTTTCTGTTCTGTAGCACGTACAGAATTCCAGTCAAGTTCCAGCTGAAATGGGGTACCAGTTAACCTAACACAACCACACAAAGACTACCATTTGCAGGCATCAGATGGATCAGTTACTGAGTTGACTTAATTCAAAATGTGATGTGAAGGGCACAGGTCAGGTAGCCCTGTTTATATAGGACACTATGTAATACTGGTTAGAACCACCCACCTAAAACAAAGTACCTCCAACCTAAACAGTTTCTGTGACTTCATTTGAAAAGATATGGGTTAAGAAGACTGACGTAGTGATGGGGACTTGAAAATACATCATTTAGAGCATCTTTAAGGTTGTGTTGAGCATCAGTGTGTTTCAGGTGGTATGTTCAAAACGAACATTGGGGGGGTATTTTCCTTGCTGGCAGTAACAACGTCCCTGGTGCTCAGCCAATATTCCCTCGCTGGGGTTCATTTACTAGTGGTGGTTCAGATTAGAGTGACGGCCTGCTGTGTGCCGTTCCTAGCTAACAAACGCTCTCTTCTCCCCACAGAAAGGATCAAGAAGGCCTCCTTCCCTACTGCCACCCTCCTGGCCCCCATTAAGGTTCTTGTGGTTTACCCATCTGAAATATGCTTCCATCACACAGTGTGTCACTTCACTGAATTTCTTCAAAACCACTGCAGAAGTGAGGTTATTCTTGAAGAGTGGCAGAAAAAGAAAATAGCAGAGATGGGTCCAGTGCAGTGGCTTACCACTCAGAAGAAAGCAGTGGATAAAATCATTTTCCTACTTTCCAATGACGTCAACACCATGTGTGATAGTACCTGTGACAAGAGTGAGGGCAGCCCCCATGAGAACTCCCAAGACCTGTTCCCCCTTGCCTTTAACCTCTTCTGCAGCGATCTGAGAAACCAGACTCCCCTTCGCAAATACATGGTGGTCTATTTTAGAGAGGCAGATACCAAAGATGAGTACAGTGCGCTCAGTGTCTGCCCCAAGTACCGCCTCATGAAGGATGCTCCTGCTTTCTGTACAGAACTTCTCCGTGTCGAGCAGCACATGTGAGTGGGAAAGAGGCTGACAGCCTGTTCCATGTAGGCCACCCAGAAATGAGGGGCCCTGAAGCCTTCCTACTCCTCCACATTATAGGGGGAAAGCATCTCAGGATTCTAAAGTTTCTGTATGGACTACGTGCAGGGAGGATTTTACATACACCTGCTTTATTTAGCAATAGGAATATAGGGAGGATTCATAACTAAATACATATGCCTTAGCTTAATCAAAACTTTCATGCCAATAAAACCGTTATAAATACTAACTACTGTAGCATTAACTAAAGGACAGAAACTAAATTTATAAATTATAAAGCTAAATCAAAATCAAGGAGAGTAATAATGCAAAATTATAACCATTTTGATAATGCAGTGATAAAGCATCTTCCAGCCAAACATCCAATCTTGAACAGTCCATGCACTGCACTGTAGGTACAACTTTACTTCTGTAACCTTCTAAACTTAATGAGTATCAAATTTAAGAAGGCTTCACTAATTCACTCAACTTCATAGGTGAAAAACCCTCTATTACGTACAAAAACTATTTTAAAAGACAGAATACAGAATAACGAGCTGAACTCATCTCTGCTGGCCAGATAACATAGCATACAGGTAACTGCTCATACTATTTGGCACTTGTATAGGACCTCTCTGAACTAATTCATGACCTGTCTGATTCTTGTACAGGTGACTTTTAACATGGACACCAATATACATTACTTGCAGACCTCCTATCAACTTTTGCCCAAAGTTACCTATTAGAGGTCACGTCAAGAGTTCAGTTTCTTGGTTATTATGTTAACTTTTCATGTTCAAAACACAAATTGTTCCTGCTCTTTAGAAAGTTAGCCCTCTTGAAGTAGTCTTTTATAAATCAGTTATAATGGTTTAAATTACCATAGAGTTCCATGACATAGAAATGTATGATATTTTAAGTCTTCCAACTTCTTTCTCTAAAAGCATCCTTTTAATGCAGAGGTTACCAAGGGGCTATATATATTACTTATATTTATGTTATGCCCATTTTTCTAAGATTGCTGGTCTTTCACACATGCAATCCTGTATCTGCTCTAGAACGTGGCTCAGTTTCAGGTGGATGACTGTTAAAATATATTCGTGAAGTGTCAAAACTATCCTTAAAGGGCCATGCCACCCCTTCTAATACATGTCTTATGGATAAAATAAAAACCAAAATAAGGAAGCACAGAGTGAAAACTCACCATGTTCAGCTCCCCAAGCAGATACTTAGTAATGGCTGAGACAATATGTTTAATGTGGTTAAGCTCACTTGTCATGATCTGTTTTCATGGTGCTTAATAAAGTGCTGGTAAAAGACGACGGACATGGCTTATGTCTAAACTTGGATCAGAAACCAACGTCCTCTGAATCAACATCTACCAGTTATAACAACAATATGTTATTATGTAAAAAAAAGATTATGAACAAAACTAACATTTTGCTTTTGGAATTAGGTAGCCACTAATAAATTGTGTTGAAACAGCCCAGATACATAAATAAGATCAATATTGTATATTTTGTTAAAAAAAAAAAAAAGAACACATAATTTTCAAATTGAAGGCACACATCTTCAATAGTACCAACATGTTAAAGTTGTTTTCTTATACTGGTGGGCTCTTCCCTGTTCCTGACCTACTGAGCAGGTATGTAAGATGCTTCCATTTATGCAAATGATCTGGTACCAGCATTTCTCCACATCCTAAGACTTCTAACCACCCTTATTCTCTTTTTCTATATTCCACTCTTCCTTCTATCTCTTATCCATCCCTACTTCTGTCTCTCTGTCCCCCTCCATCTCCAGTTCTGGATGAGCAGATGGTGGGAGCAGGTACCCAGCAGGGGGTGGCAGGGATCCGGCACTCTCCCAGGCCCCCAGGTCTCTGAGCCTCTAGTGCTGTGCTTGCTGACTGACTCCCATCTCCAGACAATGCCTTCTCTTCCTGGGGCCAGGAAGGCTTCACCAAGGCCTGGACCACTGGTGCTACTAGCTGTCTGTACTGAGATTTTGCTTCAGATTGCTCACAGATTAAGGTCAAATAATCGTACTGGGCACAAAGAGCTCCAAAACCTTTCTCTTCGTTCCTCAGGTATAGGAAAACTGGGGGGCTCAATGACTAAGTTAGTAGTAATTACAACAGAAGTTAACTCGAAATTATACCTGAATTATTTCTATTTGGCTTTAGGAAGGAAATGAATTTTCCTTCTCAGTTTTTGTTGTTTTGGTCACATAATGACTGTTTTCTTTCCCCAAGCCCACCTGGAAGCATGTCAGGTAACAAAAGCCGGCCCACCCAGCTTTAAATCTTTGCCTCTGGAAATCCAAACCTCTATGGTCACTATCTTTTTTGTAATCCAACAGAAAAAAAGAAAAAAACTTTTTTTCTTCTTATTTGGAATTCCAAGACCACAGAGGAGTCACAACATGTGTGCCTGCTATAACACATGAGGGAAATGGCATGACTGGACAGTTCTCAGGATTCAGGTACATGAGTCATATACCCACCCCTATGGCTGCATGTGATTGTCTGAGGACACTGAGGTCAACTTAAACCAAGGCATACATATGAGAGCCATACAACAGCAACATTTCCTGTCATCAGGGAGCTCCTGCCACCCTGAGAAAGGGGCAGGAGAGTTTGCCACTGAAGACTAAGTTCACATTTATCCTTAAATGTCCTGACTACAAAAACTGCTTATAATTTCACACCAAAGTCCTGCTGTCAACATAAAAGTTAAAATTCATTTATTTTCCATGAAACTTAAGCATCTGAGTCAATAAATTAAAATACATATATTCTTTAAGAGTCTTTATACCAGGATGCTTATTTTTGGTCTTCAACACTGACTTCCTGCCCACTTTCACCACACAAAAGCAGCTCGCTCTCGTAACATGCGGACACCAAAGCGCTGCCATTCTCTCTGATAGATCCACAGCTCCTGTGTTGTGTCCAAACAAGCCAGCACGGCCCCTCCTTTCCATGCAATCAGCCGGGGATCCATGTCCTAGAGCAGTGACACAGCAAAAGCAGACAAGACGTATACTTAATAATTTCCTTGTATTTGGGAGTAGAAAAAAAACCTGCTGAATCAATACTTAAAACAGCCAGATTTTCAACCTGCATTAAAGACTCATTCATGCAGGACCCATGAACTACAGACATCTCTCTGTTCCAACTGACAGGAAAACTTTTTAGTGTTTATTATTGAAGATGCTACTACTATTATTCCACCAATAGGCCCCATACGCAGAAACAGACATAAGGAAATTACTTATTCTGAAGTTAGAGGGGAGTAAATGTATCCCGTAATCCCTCCCTCAGGATTAAAATTAAATAAGAACATTTCCAGGAACTGTTTGTGAGATATAATGAAATACAGATACAATCTCTTTCTAAATTCCTGGGCTTATGTTTCTTTCCAAGGTAGTTCAGGCCAAAAGGATCCTTAATGATGCCCTGGTCTGGGGACCAGCAGCAGATCTTTAACATGAAAGCTAAAACTGAAGTTTTTCTGGCCAAGACCCGCCAGTCTTCTCCTTGCCCACCCAGTCCTTTTCCAAAGGCATGGCTTCTGGAAGCCAGCCGTGCTGGTCTGGAGAGCACAGCGAGGTCTAACACCCAGGAATCCAGGTGCCCACCCAGAGCTCCTTGCACCAAATCTGTGACCTACTGAAAGAAATCTTTCCACTTGCCCACACCCTCAAGAGCTGCCCAGACGCAAGCTCATGCCTTCCAGGATTTTATTACAATTAGAATCAGTGCTGGTTTCATTCACATACAATCCAACTGCACCATGGACAACAGACCTTGGGCCTTGTGATCACGTCCACATTCTCAATAATTCGCCTGAATGAAGGTGGCATTTTGTTGAGAATTCTGTGCTGCAGAAATTCTTGAGCTTTATGAAACATCAAACCACCTCCTACCACCAGGATGGAACTGTACATCTTCTTTTTGGTATCATCAGATGCTGAAAAGACAATGATATTCCTTCCACTCTTTCTTCCATATCCACCACTGGGCCAAGCCACCACCATCTCATTTGGACAACTGAGGCTCCTCAAAGCTCTCTTCCAACCCACCCTCAACAATGCAGCCAGAAGAACCTTGCAAAACACCAAAGTGAACATGCTGCTGCACCCCCCACCCTGCAACTTGCAGGATTAGGACCAAAATTTCTACAGGGGCCTACAAAGTCTACTGTGGCGTGACTCACTGCTTCTCCAGCCCTATCCTGGCATCTCACCTCCCAGCCACGCTGGCCTCCACACAGGCCTCTTCCTTTGCCTGGAATGCCACCTGGTGACCTTCTCACCTCCTAGACCGTTCTCAAATGGCTCTTCCCTAAGATTCCCTGCCTCCCACCATCTATACCTCCTCCTACCAGTAAAAATCCCCTATTAAGTCCCTCAATCAGAAGCTCTCAGAGTCAGCTCAATTTTCCCTTTTGTTCAACTTTGCAGCACCAGTCAGAGTTGTAATTTCACACTTGTGTGACAATTTAACTTCTTTGGTTTCCTCCACTAGGCTATATGCTCAACAAGGCTGGGAACCACTTCCTAACACCGGACAACGCAGGCACAAAGCATGTGCCCAACAGTTTTTCAATGCATATGCTACGCAGCACAACCACACCCTAGCCTGAACCAATTCACCTAACTGCTATCTTACAACGTGCTTACAACAGCAGTCTATGCTGTGAAGAATGGCTTTATCCAGGCCCAGGGCCTTCCCTTCAAACAGCGAGATGGCAGTCTTCCTGGACATCAGTGCTGTGAGAGCCTCTTCAGATTCATTGCCGGCCATCAAACAGTCTCCCTGGGAGGATCCCAAATCCACCTCCTGGGCATGGAGTCTTTCTGGAAGATCAGAGGACTGGCCACGAAGATCCCCTTCAAATCCAATGGGTTTGGATGCAGACTTTCGGTCAGCAGTAGCTTTTGCAGACTTTAAATCAAACAAAAGGACAAATGGATGGTATGAGTGTAACAGAATAGTGCTGATGTTCTCCAGCTAGACCCCACCCCTCCCTACTACACTACTTTATACTACTATAAAACAAAGGTCCACCACTGTGGTGCAGAGGGAATACACACTAGCAGGTGGCCAAGCACCTGCACCCACTCCCAGATCACCTGGGAGTGAGACGTGGTGTACAAAAGATGAGGGTGTGCTGACAATTCCAAAGCAGCCATTGGCAAGAAGGGAAAGTCTCACAACTATTACTGGTTGGATTTGCAAATTGAAATGACAGTGACATGGACATTTCCCCCTTGAACTGAGTTTTTACGTGGAGAATTTCAGTAGAATTCTTGTGCCTGTGCCTCCTACCTAATCCTCATTTTCAGACCTTATCCAACCACCTCATGCTCACCATTGGGACAGGGACAAAGACTAGAAAAGGTTTATAAGCCCTCCTCTCTCCATCCTGAGCTGCTGTTTCACTGGGGGAGAAGACCTTTCATTTGTGCCCCTGTATCAGACATCCTATTACTTGGATCATCAGCTCTGGACAAAAGAATTCAGCTTTTTGCCTAGGCCACATACCTTTTACATTATAATTTTAAAATAGGTGAGATTTTACTAAAAATACTCACTACTGGATAAACATTCAAAAGTAGATAGCTTTCACACCAAAAATAAATATCTTTATTAAATTAACTTTTAAATTTGTGGACTGGTATTCTGAAAATTGGCTTCATGTCTGCTGAATGAAAAAATCTGTCATCTGACTTGAAATTTAGACTTCATCACATCTCCAGTTCTAAAAACAGTATTGGCTTCAGTATGTAGTAGACTGCAGTGACTGCGCCGACCCACTAATCACGGACAAACTTCCGCAGGGACCAAGCTGTCTCCTCTCACACCAGAATTTCTGCAGACCTGTTCTTGCTTGCTCTGCGTGGCCAGCAGATAATGCTCATCATGAGGATCCTCAGGGTCACCCTGGGATCTGTGCTGCAAGGTTGTCATCTTCTGTCCAACAATTCCAAAAGTTGCTGGGTAAAACAAAGCCATTGGAGCCTGTGCAAGTAAGGAAAAGAATGATCAACCAAGGACACGTGGCTTTCTGAAAAAAAATGATCTATTAAATTCTGTCCTTCCCCAAAAAAAATTGGCAGATCAGATCCTAGAAGGCAGACTCAATAAACATTCTCTTTTGGGAGTAGCATTATTTCTTTATTGCACAAGAGGCCAGAAAACTTAACAGAAATCATCCAACTGAATGAGTGATGTGACACCACAAAGAGAAATGTCAAAACGTGTAATGCAAGTGGCAAATAAGCTACTTTATAATTTCCTAATAAGAACAGTCCTTCTCTCTCTAAATAGTAACAAATCACATAGCAGCTAATTAAAAAGATGGCCCTCATCATCTATTCTAATCTGTACTCTATCAGTGGCTTAAAAGCTGGTTTAGCAGGGGCACCTGGGTGGCTCAGTCGGTTGAGTGTCTGACTTTGGCCCAGGTCATGATCTCACCGTTGGTGGGTTCAAGCCCCACACCAGGCTTTGCATTCACAGCGTGTAGCCTGCTTTGGATTCTCTGTCTCCCTCTCTCTCTCTCTGCCCCTCTCCCCCTCTCTCTCTCTCTCTGCCCCTCCCTCCCTCACCCTCTCTCTCTCAAAAATAAACACTAAACAGGGGCGCCTGGGTGGCTCAGTCAGTTGGGCATCAGACTTCGGCTCAGGTCATGATCTCATGGTTTGTGAGTTTGAGCCCCGTGTCAGGCTCTGTGCTGACAGCTCAGAGCCTGGAGCCTGCTTCAAATTCTGTGTCTCCTTCTCTCTCTGCTCCTCCCTTGCTCATGTTCTCTCTCCCTCTCAAAAATAAAGACTAAAAAAAAAAATTTTTTTTTTTAAAATAAACACTAAACATAATGTTTAAAAAAAAAAAAAAGCTGGATTAGCAGCTAATCTATACCAGTTGACATTCTAACCTCAAGAGGTTTCACACAAGTGCATATTCTCTCAGTGTGAGTGAACCAGGTCAGCTTTCTTTCTACCCACAGAAATATACACCCATATGTTACCTGGAGTTTTTCATCTCCTAATCGAAACTGGTAAAGTAGGGCAGGGGAATCCGGATGTCGAATCTGAAACTCATGATCCTGAAGCCCAGAGATGTCCTGATTCCAGGAAAAGATGCTGTCAGTGAGCCAGTAAAAGTGCATGTAAACTCCTCAAATTATAGTTAAGCCTCTCCACAATCCAAATCTCACTTATAACAAGACTGCCCTGCAACTTTGTACCATTCCACCTGGAACTTAGTAAAATAAGAGTCAAAATGTACCTTGCTTCCCTTTTAACAATTCCAAAATTTCTACCATCTGCATTTTTTTTTCATTATTGAGACATACGAATACAATTACCCAAATCAATAAGCAAATTTTCTCAATAACTGCAAAATGCTACCCGTCTTAGGTTCCTCAAAATTCCATTATTCAGAATTAGATAGTCTGAAAAATGTTAGGGAAAAAAAGTCTGACACAATGCATAAAAAGGTAGGAATCCACATACAACAATGTTGGCAACATTAAGTGCTTCAAATGATGCCATTTTATTAAATGTCTGCACCTATGTATTTATTACATGTAAAGGTGTATCTTCAACCTTTATCGGAATGATCAAAGATCCTAAAAAGAAAGGAATTTCTTACACACTCTTTCTTAAAAAAGACAGCTGTATTTTTTAGAGCCTGAGACACATCCTGATGGCTCTGACCTTACCAAAACACCCTCACTCCTTAAGAGCTTCCACTTCAAGGCTCTGTCAACTTGGGTTGAAAGGGTGGCATAACATTGTTACATTTTTTTTTTAATGTTTATTTTTGAGAGAGAGAGAGAGAGAGAGAGAAAGAGAGACAGAGAGACAGAGCACAAGCAGGGGAGTGGCAGAGACAGAGAGGGAGACACAGAATCTGAAACAGGCTCCAGGCTCTGAGGTGGCAGCACAGAGCCCAACGCAGGGCTCGAACTCGGGAACGGTGAGATCATGACCTAGGCTGAAGTCAGATGCTCAACTGACTGAGCCACCCAGGCACCCCAACATGGTTACATTTTTAACTGCCTTTTAAATGTCTTAAATTTTTCCTGGAAATAAAAATAATCAGCAATTTTGATTTTGCTCCCACCTGATCTAAATGACAAAAAGTTTCTTTAAGGTGCTGTAGAAGAAGACAATCCATTTTATTTGTTAGCTGGCATTCTCGGTAAGGGAACCCAGCTCGCTGCATCAGCCAGTAGAAACACCGTGACACGTCAGAGCCCCCATACGCCAGACAGAGCCTAGAGTTAAAAGAAAAGGCAGGTGGGTAATCTGTCAGTCAAGAAGGTGCACAGGGCGTTTCAAAAAATCCATCATGCAGAGAAACATGACAAGTCTCAAAAGATGTCTAATGCATGAATAGACTGAAAGGACAGGATGGACGGATGGGATGGAGAAATGGACTCCAGCACACAACCAGGGGCGGGCACCTAGGAGCAGTCATGCTATTTGCAAAAAGTCCAAGAAACAGAATACACATGACTAAATGCAGCTCATTCCTAAGTCACTATGTTTATCATACACTAGCTGTTTGCCTGTCTTGTATTCACCAGCATATCAAGTTCACAGGCAGTGACATCATAGGACAAACTCATGGGAAGAAAGTTTAGAGTGTACTACCCCCTAACTGAATGGTTCTACAATTCGGAAAGAACACTGCTATGTTATTTTAGCAGCAGGAGACCTAGGTCCAGTATTTTCTCCACACTTTAAGAACCAACGGCATCAGCCAATACAAACAGTGGATGAGCCACAATAACTCACACTGGGTTTTCGAATGCACCATAACTTGGGGTGGGAAGCAATAGAGATTAACCTTCCTCATGGACTGGTTAGGCCCGCTTTCCAATGTTTCTCTATCCTGTGACTCAAACTACCTATGTGAGGGATAAGAACTACAGCATCCTGAAGAAGCCATCCTGGGAGCACAAGATGTTACAGAGAACCTGTATGTGCACTGCCTGTGTTGGGCTTGTCTACGGAAGGACAAGCAGCAAACTTGTGCCTGATATCTCTCATATCAGTGATGACATCACAAAGGGAACAGACAAGGAAGCTACTCATCACTCACTGAACAATTACGACAAAAGCAAATACTCAAATGCTAGCTAGTTAGAGAATTCAGACCTGAAAACCTATTTTCCCCTACACGTCTTGTCTAAATAAAACTTTGCTATGAGCATAATTGGTATTTTCACTCCAGACCACAGCAAGACACAGAGCTAACACTACGCCAAGCAGGGATCTTCAGGAGCTGCTGATGTGAACTCACAGCAGAGAATTCCAACAGCAAAGGTAAAATCAGTGCTCTGTAGCCTTGCTAGAATTTGTATTTCCACAACTGTGAATATAATTCCTTATAAAAATTTCATTTCTAAGGGGCCCCTGGGTGGCTCAGTCTGTTAAGCGTCCGACTTCCACTCAGATCGTGATCTCGCGGTTTGTGAGTTCGAGCCCCGCATCGGGCTCTGTGCTGACAGCTCAGAGCCTGGAGCCTGCTTCCCATTCTGTGTCTCCCTCTCTCTCTGCCCCTCCCCCACTTGTGCTCTGTCTCTCTCTGTCTATCAAAAATGAATAAATGTAAAAAAAAAAAAATTAAAAAAAAAATTTCATTTCTAACTTGTGACGCTTTATAGCTGAACAGGCTGTGAGGGGAGAAGGAGCAGAGAAAGCCACCTTCCAAGGTCCTTACCGAGTATTCCGATGAGAGACCCCATCCTCCACACAACACACACTTGTCTTCTGATCTCCAACATCTACGATACAAGTGCTGCTTAAACCACTTCCAAAGGTGGCACACACAGACTCCTGATGGACCACAATCCCTGAGACACAAAGGCAGAGGAGCCATCAGCTAGGCAGCAGTAAAGATCGTAAGACAGACATTCAGTTAAAGTCTGGAAACCCCTGAGCAATCGTCCAAGCACAGCAGATCCTCTCAGAATAAACATTTCAAGAAAGCAGTGAATTAGATTAACTTTGTCAATAAAAACAGAAAACCAATCTCATTTCAGGTAGATTTCTCTGGAATATAGGACATACCTGAAAAACCCATCTTCATTAAGATCATATTCACTAGTTCTTTCACATGCTGTTTATTATAGATATCAGGAATCAGCAAGATACATCTATAATACTAAAAAGAAAAACAAAGGGGAAAAAAAAAGATAAAACAGTTAATGCGAAAGTCTGGTCAAAATAATTGTCACTACATTTGTCTTCAGAGAGGATTCTCTCTAAAGGACGGCAACAATGATTAGGGGCACGAAACAAAACCTCAACCCCCCTGCTATCTTTGGGGTTTAATGAAAACACTAATGTTGAAGTTGTGTGAGGATTTTTTTTTCCCTTTAAATTATTAAAAACTTGTCAAATGGTATCACAACCCCAGATTTCAAAATATACTACAAAGCTATACTAATCAAGACCGTATGATACCGGCACAAAAATACACATATAGATCAATGAACAGAATAGAACCCAGAAATAAACCCACACATATATGGTCAATTTGACACAGGAGGCAAGGATATACAATGGGAAAATATCTCTCCAACAAATGGTGCTGGAAAAACTGGACAGTTACACGCAAAAGAACGAAACTGGACCACTTTCTTAAACCATTCACAAAAATACATTAGAAATGAATTAAAAATGGAGATGTGAGACCTGAAATGATAAAACTCCTAGAAGAAAACACAGGCAGCAAATTCTTTGACATCAGCCTTAGCAACATTTTTCTGGTTTCCTGAGGCAAGGGAAGCAAAAGTAAAACTAAACTATTGGAGCTATAAGTCTATAGCTATAACTATAAACTATAAACTATAAGCTATAACTATATAACTATAGCTATAACTATAGTTATAACTATTGGAGTAAAACACGTTTGCACAATGAAGAAAGCCATCAACAAAACGAAAAGGCAACCTTACCTGATTGGAGAAGGTATTTGCAAATGATATATCTGGTAAGTGATTAACAGCCAAAATATATAAAGAACTTCTACAACCCAACACCAGAAGAACAAATAATCCAATTAGAAAATGGGCCCTGGACCTCAATAGACACATTTTTCCAAAGACATAGAGATGGCCAACAGACACATGAAAGGATGCTCAACATCACTAATCATTAGGCAAATGCAAATCAAAACCACAATGAGATATCACCTCACAACTATCAGAATGGCTAGCATCAAACAGACAAGAAATAACGGGTGTTGGCAAGGATGTGAAGAAAAAGGAACACAGTTGGTAGGAATGTAAATTGGTACAGCTGCTACGGACAACAGAATGGAGATTCCAAAAAAAATTAGAAATAGAAATAACGCACAATCCACAGTAGTAGTAACTCCACTACTATTACCCAAAGAAAATGAAAACAGTAATTTTAAAAAATATATGCATTCCTAATTTCAGTGAAGCATTATTTACTACAGCCAAGATATGGAAGCAACCTAAGTGTCCACTAATAGATAAATGGATAAAGAAGATTGGTATATACATATAATAGAATATTACTCAGCTATATAAAAGAATGAGATCTTGCTATCTGCAATAACATGGATGGACCTAGAAGGTATTATGCTAAGTACAGTAAGTCAAAGAAAGATAAATACCATACGATTTCACTTACATGTGGAATCTAAAATACAAAACAAATGAAAAACCAAAAAAGCAGAAACAGACCCATAAATACAGAGAACAAATTAGTAGTTGCCAGATGCAAGGAAGGTGGGGGATGGGAAAAATGCGTGAAAGAAAGTGGGAGATAGAGGTTTCCAGTTATAGAATGGATAAGTCATGGGGATGAAAAATACAGCATAGGGAATACAGTCCTCGGTATTGTAACAGCACAGTATGGGGACAGACAGTAGCTACACTTGGGGTAAATGCAGCATTATGTATAGTGGTGCCAAAACACTGTGCTGTACCTGAAACTAACGTGTCATTGTATGTCAACTATACTTCGATTAAAAAAGAAAACCAAAACCAAAAACAAATTTTGTGAAATTAAAAATAAAGATAGGCCGGTGGCTATCGGGTTAAAAAAGGTCCCCACTCAGCCAGGTCATGACCTCGCCGGTCCGAGTTCGGTGCCCCCGGCTTAGTTTCACATGGTTTCGAGCCTGGAACCTGCTTCCATTTCTGTGTGCTCCCTCTCCCTCTCTCTGTGCCCCTCCCTGCTCATGCTCTGTCTCCTCTCTGTCCCAAATAAAGGCCAACATTGAAAAAAAAAAATTAAAAAAAAAAAAAAAAAAAAAAAAAAAGACAAACATATGTCCCAAAAAAGGCCCAGAGAGAAGGCATAAACATGAGCAAGTTTGATGGTTGCAGAGCAGTAGAGACAGACACCAAAGAAACAGTAAGAAAAAGAGAAGGCACCGGAACTGAAGTCAGCCAAGAAGGAAGATACCCTCCACACCTTAAGGCTGAGAATGCTTCAAGGACACTAGATTACAAACAACTCAGGAATACGTACTTAAACACAAGTAAGACAAGACTCTTAAAGGCAATCCAAGTAACTGGGAATTTTAGCTCACCTTTAAATCTTTGAGTGGAATTTCCAAGTATTTTTGTATTGCGTGAGACCATATTATTTCAATATCTGCCAGAACAGAAGTGGTTTCAGTCCTGGGTGAATATTTAACTGACCTCTTCTGATAGGCCAGTGAATATTATAACAGTCCAATGGATTAACATACAAGGCCTAGAAAAGACAGGGAGATGAATACATTGTTAAACTTTTCTTGGGCATTTTCTGAATTCACATTTAAACATCTAAGATCATGGGCATTGAAGAGGGCATCTTTTGGGATAAGCACTGGGTGTTGTATGGAAACCAATTTGACAATAAATTTCCAAAAAAAAAAAAAAAATCTAAGACCAGAGTTACGATTAACATTTGCTCACTATTCTAATTAATTTTTTTTAATGTTTTTTTTTTTGTTGTTGTTGTTGAGAGAGAGACAAGAATGAGCGGGGGAGGGAAAGAGAGAGAAGGAGACACGGAATCCGAAGCAGGCTCTGGGCTCCAAGCTGTCAGCACAGAGGCCAACGCGGGGTTTGAACTCAACGAACCTGAGCTGAAGTCAGATGCTTAACCGACTACCCAGGCGCCCCCATTTGCTCACTATTCTAAATGTTGAGAGTGGAGTACCTAACATCACAGGAGCCTGTGTGAGTATCTGGGCCTGCAAGGAAGATGGAAGATGGTGAATTCTAGGAAACAACTAGAACTGGATGGTGCTGCAAAGTTCCCTACCTCTTCTCCCACCAAAAACTCAGGGTGATGAGACGTGTTTGTCCACTTATTTCCAGAACAGTGATCTAAAATTGCAGGTCGCATCTGCTTGTTGTAGGAGCGTGCCTGAAATAAAAGAACATCAGAAAACTCTCTGAATTTTTGCAAGAAAAAAGGAGAGGGGGAAGGAGAAATGTAGCATGAGTCCTCTTTTCTCCTCTCTCACATACCAGATATAGTAGATTACAAAATGTAATCACAAGCCCTAAATATCTGGCAAAATACTGACTGGTCACAGGAAGATTCTCTTGGCCTTTTCTACAATTGTGATTTTTTACCCATGGTTTTAAAACCTAGACTGTGATTCATAACCAGTCCAAAATCACTACTATACTCTGCTTAAAACTGAATACACATTTGTGTATCATACCAACTCACGTCCACTCCTAACAGTATTTTTTATCATATTAAAATGACAAATGTAGGAAGAACATAGCTTCCCATGTTCTTACAGATCCTGGAATTATACACTTAAGACCATCAGATAAACTATACATGTTTATGAACTTGCCATAAGAAACACCATCTTTTCAATTATTCAGCATGCCCAAGCATTTGTGACACTGATTTGGATATTCTGTAGGTGGTTATGAATGGTTTTTTCTTCCTCTTTTAAGGAAATCCTATCTTTAATTTGCATAATGAAACTGAGAGAGCACACGATTGGCATTATGACACAATAGCAGTTAAAGAATAAATCTGAAGAAAGAGTTAAGGGTGAACCTGTTCAGGGGACACGGGAATCCGTCTTGTACCATTTGACATCTTTTTAGACCATATTGCTTGATCCACCATTTTAAGGCCATTTTGTCTTTGTTCATTACTTTCTGGTTTCTGGGGGGAAAAGTGAGAGATAAGCAGTACAAAGGATTCAGTGAAAAGAGAAAGCAATTTGGCAAACTACTAAATTAATCCACTAAGAAGAAATGCTCCCTCATCAACAAGTAGCAGTATTTCCTTAATCTTTGTCATACGTATCAATCTTAAGAACTCAAAGTAATCATTTCACTATTTATAAATTAAAAAGTCAGAAAGGAACCCTCACCCATAAACCCAACTATTTGCAAAAATCCATAACCTCAAGGAAGTATGAATGACAAAATTTTTCACAGCACTGATCAGGATAGCTACTTTGTATTTATAAAGTATTTCAGAGACTTTTCCGTACATGTACATAATTCTCATTATTCTCGATTTTGTAACAATGCTACATTCACTCATGTGTTATTTTGTTTAATCAGCAGGTATTCAAGTTGCTGTGACATTATAAGGAATAGATCTGTAAACATCTCTGTGAAAAAGTTATTGTTTCCTATCAACTTTTACTCCTGACATTTATGCCCTACAAAAGAATTGTAAGATCCAAAAATATAAATGAATTTAGACTCTTATACTCTCAAGTTACATTTAGGCTTAGAAATGGGACTTACACAGTCTTCCAGTCATGCTAAAAAAAAAAAAAAATCCTAAAGTTTACTATTCGAAGTATAGAAACTGCAAATTCCTAAAACTACCTTCGATCTAAAACTTAAACGTAGATTACGATGCAAAATATATATTTTAACATCTACCATGAAATACTTTCTCATAATTACTATCTGCAAGATAAGATAAAGTAAATGCTACCTACAAGGATATATGTAGTTCTGCCTTCAGATTACAATTTGACCTAAGATTGTAGTAACTGATTATAACAATTCAATTTACTTATAGATTGAAAATACAAGCTCAATATACACTGTAAGTATCTGCAAGAGAAAAATTTGGCGGTCAGTTAATACAGACCTTAAGGCATTATTTTAAGTGAGTGACATCACCTTCATCAATACCCAATTCATATTGATGGGTGAAAAAATTTTTAATTTACTTTTGTTGTAATTATTTCTGTACAATCTAACACCGCTAGCTCAGATGAAAAATATTACTTGTAACCCTGAATGATGTTATTATTTTAAAACGCATAAAAGCTATGAAGATGGAGATGTTTATTCAAGTATACTGTGTATACCTGAATGTGTAAGCTCTCCCAAAGAAACCACCTTGGGCTTTCTCTCCAGATCCTCCATTTCTGACTTACATTTAGTCCTTCCCTTAGGAGCCAGTTGTCCTTGTATAGTGGCTGCCCTTGTTGTTTGTGCCTTCGTGCAATTACATGAGGAATGCTAGCAGGAAGTGTGTCTGTAGCTCGCCCAATCCTTAGGGTTGTTGAACCTGGGTGTATGACAACAATGAAGTTGCTCTGGATTTGCTGCAAATACAAAACACAGGAGTGTGACCTTGGTAAATAATATGCAGGTAACAAGTTAAATAACAGGTAGGTAACAGGCAAGACTAAGAAGTTAAGTTTCCTATGACTATCAGACTCAAAGGTATCAAAATAATTCACTGAAGGTAGCTCTTTGAGAGGCATCCAATTATTGCTCTCTGCCTGAATGCAAACTCTTTTAGTATTTCTGTGCTCCCAGGATCTGACCACAGTACACAGGTCAGTATTTGTTTAAATGAACAAAACCATAATTATCTAATGCAAGTTAACCTATAATTACTGGGCATTTCTGTGCTAGGTACTGGGGGTACAATGGTGACCAAGACAAAATCCTGACCACCAGAGAACTTTCAGATTACTAGGGGTCACAGGCAAGGAATACACGTGGGAAATACCATGACTAGTGAAGTACTACTAGCTAAAGCTGAATCACTTAAAGATGCTTAGATTCCAAGCCTCCACTACACATTTTCTGATTCAGAATTTCCAGGGAGAGCCACCATTCCTGCACGACTCCTTAGCTAGTAAGGAGCTGCCCTTGAGCTACAGATGTGTCTTCTTGTATGTATCCATTTAAAACATTTCCATAGTTTGCCCGTAAGATACAGTCAGGAACCTCTGAGATCAAGACCCTGTCTACTTCTCTAACCTTACTTGAGGACCACTTCCTTTCTCTTTAATCTTCCTAATCTAGATCTCTCTTGATTTCTTGGGGCACCTGGGTGGTTCATCTGGTTAAGCATCGGACTTCGGCTCAGGTCATGATCTCACAGCTCATGAGTTCAAGTCCCTCGTCGGCTTTGTGCTGACAGCATAGAGCGTGGAGCCTGCTTCAGATTCTGTGTCTCCCTCTCTCTCTACCCCTCCCTTCACTCATACCATCTCTCTCTGTCAAAAGTAAATAAACATTTAAAAAAATTTTTTTTAATTTTAGCTATCTCTTGATTTAACTCACCACTCTGACTTCCAGATCTTCACACAGGCAGCTCCCTTTGCCTGCCACGTCCTTTCTCCCTGGTAAATCCTACTTTCCCCTTCAGTTCTGAAGTTAAATGTCATCAGATTAGGTTTGCTTGTCCCCTTACAATATAACCTTATGGTACCCTTTTTCTTGTAATTTTTTACTGTCTGCCCTCCCAACAGATAAAAACCTTCATGTAAAAAGGGATCACTTCTGTCTTGTTCACTATGCCCAGTGCACAGCGCACAGGATCCTAGGAGATATTGAAAGCAGCACTTTCACATGGCTGGCGTGATGTTAAACAGTACTTCCCAAGCTTTTTTGTGCTATGGCAGACATTTGTCCAGTAGACTGGAGTGAAAAGATGAAACTGCTTGCCATTGGAGATACCTGTACCTCATTAATGGCACACAGGCTGCAGCACATTGATCAGAGAGCTCTGAGGTAGTAATGGCAGTTTTCCAAAGCACGGACAAATATTTTTTAACAACTACATATTTATTTTAACATTTCAGGAAAAAACTAGACAGTACATCCCATACATCACTTCCTGAATATTATTACTTAAATAAGACCAAATAAAAGAAGTTATTAAGCAAATAATGGATATGAAAAAACCATACACAACATGGAAAAACTAAAGGGTGTTCTACAACTGACTGGATTAAGGAAATGTTGCTATAGTGGTTAAGGGCCCAGGATCTGGATTAACAGATTTGTCTTCAAATTCATACTGCACCACTTCCTTGCTCTGGATGAGGTTCCTACCTCACAGAGCTATTGTGAGGCTTAAGCGAATTAATCCTGCAGCCCAGGGTCTGTCTAACCTTCCAAAGTTCTGCACTGCCTTCAGAAGAGACCAGACTCTTTCTTTATGCCTCTCATGATAGGCCCCACTACAATCTCCTGTCCCACCTCTCGCTCCCTCTTCTTCCTCACTTCCAGACACCCTGATCACCAACACTTGATCTCCTCTCCTGACCCAGGTCTCTTCCACACTGTTCTCCTTCCGAGATTTCCCCTAACTCCTAATCACTCTTTGGGTCTTAGTTCAAACGTCATTTCCTTTAAAACCTTCTCAGACCATCAGGGCCAGAGGAGACACCTGCTGTGTGTGCCCAACACTTCCCTATGGCCTTCTGTACTAGCCCATCTGACACCATATGCCCTGATACCTGCTGCCCAACTGTGAGCTCTACCCTCCTGCCTCCCAGTCACAGAATGCTAAAGAATCATACATGGTGGGAATGTGCAAGGCCCATACAGACCATCCAGCCTGCCCCCTCAACTAGAAGGGCGGAGAAACAGGCCAGGGCAACAGTAACTATCACCCTGGGGGATTCCCACGAGCCAGCACGGTGCTAAACATCCTACAGCTGCCTGAACAATTGGGTGTTATCCTTAACCCAGCCACCAGTTAGGAAGCTGCCTCACAGATGTCCAACATGAAATTCTGACCACGTAAATGCCTTATTTTTGCTGTGAATTTACCCATTTTCCTATGGGAATGTTGGTATTTTTTCATTCATCAGTAGGAATACACACACACAGGTCCTTTGCCGGCCATGCTACGACAAATAATTTTTTCTGGTTGGTATGACTTCATCTTGTTCTGATTTTGACACACAAACTCTTCTTGTCCATTCAGACGATCGTCTGCCTTTTCCTTGCTTTATGCTGGAATCGGCCTCCACTCCCAAAGATAGCCTTCACACAGGAAAACGCCTGCACCGCCAAGTGTCCCTGCCCGGCGCTAAACTCCACCTGCGCTCACTGACACTCCACAGCTGCTTGGAAGGCAGGCAAGGGCCCGGGGCCCATACCGCGGCGGACCGGAGAGACAACCACCACCCGCGCCAGCCACGAGGGTGGGGGCCGGAAACCTTGCCTCGCCGCCTGCCTTTTCACCTCCGCCCAACCGGAAGGCCTTCTTCGAGACCCGCCCCCTGCGCCGCGCCGCACCTCCTGCAGCGACTCCGGCACCAGCGCTGGCACGATGGGTCGTTTCACGCCGCGCTGCTCCTTCTCCTTCTCTCCGCCCTTCTCTTTCCCGTTCTCAGCGTCCCCCTTCTCCGCCTGGGTCATCGCGGCCGCTGACAAACCCCGACCTCCAGCCTCAGGGACGCACCGCGCCCGCCGGAGCCGGCTGGGCCCCCGCGCACGCGCAGCCTCCCAGCCTGGTGCCCGGCAACCAAGATGGCCGACGGACAGCCGCCCCAGAGGCTTCCGGGAAACCGGAGGGGCGGCGCTGTCCAGAGGAGGACGGGGCGGGAGTGGGGCGTGGATGGGTGGGTGTTGCTGTGATTTGTCCTGGCGGTGGGATGCCCGAAGCCTCCTTGTTTTTCCTTTCGAGCGCTACACCCGGCATCGCGTTTTGCTCTCACAATAGGAAGCCTCTATTCTTGGTTTCCTAGACCCTAACTGCTCCTAGTTTTCCTCATACTGCGCTGGTTAGGTTCAGAACAGCTTCTGATGTTAAGGTTTTGAGTTAGGGCGCCTCTCTCCGCACCCCTTGGATGACTTTATCCGGTTTCATGGCTTTGCATGTGAATATGACTCCCAGGTTCATGATTCCAGTCTGGAGGTGACCCTGAGATCCAGACTGATAACCAACAGCCTATTTGGTATCTCCACGTGTATGTCCACAAGGCATAGCAAACTTACATGCGCCCAAACTGGAACTCTTGATACCCGCGCCATCCCCTCCGCCCCCAGCCTACTCCCATTTTCACCATCTCAGTAAACATCACTTTGATTCTGCAGTTGTCCAATCTATCAGTAAATCCTGCAGTCTCTAAAATATATCTTGAATGAATCCACTTCTCCATCCCTACGGTTACCTAGTCCAAACTACTATCCTCTCACCTGGACTGCAACAGCTTCTTAACCCAACTCCCTGCTTCCATGTTGTCCTCCTGCAATGTGTTCTTAATGCACTTGCCCAAATGTCAGCTTCTAAATTATGAAGTAATCAATACCATGTATGCAGCATTCCACTTAATACCACCTGTGAGTTATCTTGGACAAAAATTAAACCCACGCTTTACTCTCAAGGTTTCTCCTTGTTCATGGAACAGAATCTAAACAAACTCACCATAGCCTAGAAGGCCATTCTTAACCCAGTTTCTGCTACCTCTTAAGTTCACCTCATCTCTTTCCTTCTGTTGGCATTTCGGTTACCCTTGCTTTCTTTCAGCTTCTCACACGTGCCAAGCCCTTCCCTTCATTGGACCATTGCTCTTGTTCCCTTTGCCTTGGGTGCTCTTCCTCAGCTGGCTCATTCTCATCCTGTCTCAACTCAAATGTCACCTCAGAGAAGACTCCCCCAGTTACCTTGTCATCTTATTTCCTTCGAAGCAGAATTAAATCTGTACTTAGCTTGCTTGAGATCTGATGAAGTCAGACTATAGGATAACCCTAAAGAAGAGTACTGCAGAGCAGTGCTGGGCAGGGGCAGGGCGGCAGGGATCACCAATCACATGCACAGAGAAGCCTGTCACTTCCTGAGACTCTGCCCTGGTCTCCTCCCCACTACAGCCTTAGGTGGAGATTTGACAGAATGACCCTGCCGTTCACCAGCCAATCTGGACATCATAAAACTTTGCTGACCCTTTGCATGTTATCTGTATAATGCAATGTCATCTACCTAACCCAGTGCATCAGAATTAACAATAAGTAAAAGATAAAATGTCTCACAGGCTTGAGTGGTCAATAAACTGTCTTTATTATTCTTCTCCTTAAAATTGTGTTATAATTGTCCCTTTCCATGTTTGAAGACCAGTGTCTCATGCCACTACATCCTCATTTCCTGACAAACAGGGTTAAATAAATGCTTCTAAATAAATATAAAAATGCTTTTACCTGAAACTTTGTTTCAAAGACTGCTGGGGGCACCTGGGTGGCTCAGTCGGTTAAGCGGCCGACTTCAGCTCAGGTCATGCATGATCTTGCGGTCTGTGAGTTCTAGCCCCACGTCTGGCTCTGTGCTGACAGTTCAGAGCCTGGAGCCTGCTTCAGATTCTGTGTCTCCCTCTCTCTGACCCTCCCCTGTTCATGCTCTGTCCCTCCCTGTCTCAAAAATAAATAAACATTAAAAAAAAAAAAAATTCAAAGACTGCTGAACACAAAGCAGAATTATCTGTATTATTCGTTTTTCCAACAAATATTGCAGTGCCTATCACGCTTAATCACTATTCAAAGCACTGGGGTAAAAAAGACAAAAATCCCTAACCTCATAGAGCTTCCATTCTAGTGAAAGAATATGAGAGTTACTAGCATTCATGGGGGTGAAAGCCAATAGGCAGTATCTTAAGCAATGGTTTAGAATTCAAGTTTGTGAAGACTGCACAGAAGCCTATGATATTAAACCCACCTAGCCAATCTTCATTTTGTATGTGGCTCAGGTTTGTTGGTTATGGCTTTATAAATACCCTAATTATATTCGGTAGCAAATCCGATATTTTGTATTAAAGATTCACAGGACAAATATGTTTTGAGGTAAAATTGTATGCATACTATTGAAATAAATACAATGTGATTTATTTATAAATGAGAACAAATTAACAGTGAATAGTATTTCAGAAGTTAAAAAGGTGACACTAGTTGTACTGAATACACAACCTTTTATTTTTCTTCAAATTTGGAGTTTTTTAATTATACAAAGATGACAAGTCAAGTTTTGTAACCTAAAAATATTTACTTATTAAAACTATATTAATACTTTCATAAACTATACAAAAAAGAATGAGACAAACATGTGCATTTATAGAACTGCATGTCAGTCATGCCAGATCCCTGGGGAGGGAATTCCCAGCACGACCTCATCTGTCTGTGAGGACACAGAGCAATTCTCGTTTAGACATACACATTCATTTGCTTGTCCCGCACGGTCAGTCCTCTACCTCTTGATGGTTTCCTTCTGCTATGAATGTGCATGTCCAGTTGTCTGCTTCTTAGAGCAGACATTTACCTAAAAGAAAGCATTATAATAAGTTAATAGTTATTAATTTGGATCTGCACAAAAAAGTCCAACTATCTTTTTTTTTTACCTGTTTTCAAAAGACACTTTGATAAAAAATTCAACAAATTTTTCAAGGGTTGAGATATTTTTCCATACAAGATGTCTGAATAATTACAAAATGTTGGGCAACTTCTGTTTTCCTAAAGAAAACTTCCCTAGGAAGGTATTTTCAAAACGAAATCTCTGCACAATAATTTCAGATTTCACGTTACCTTCCTCATCCACCAGCCATTGGAGGAGGACTAGGGCCACGCAGATGATTAATTCGACCCATTCTTCTGGGAGGGTTTCCTGGTGGCCTAAAAGAAAAATTTCTACTGTTTAGTAGACATCAAGTGGTTCCTTTCAAACACTCAAACAGACCCTCTTCTCTATTTAAAATAGGAATTACCAACTAGGTCAGGAGTTGAGAAAATTCAAACCCCTACAGGGACCAGACACTTAATGCACATGAGGAAGTGGGTCAAGCAAGGACTGTGATGGCCTGAACAGTGTCTCCTGTAAATAAATGCCCAACTGAAACTCCGCTCCATGGAAGTGCTGCTTGATCTTCTCTGGTTTTTCTTAGCAGTGGAAATCCAGATTCTACGGTGAAAATCTCTAGAGTTAACGTTGGTCATCAGTTTCAGCCTCTAATTTAGACTTTGCCCAGAGGATATTTGATATACATTTTAGCTTTATCAAATTGACTCTGGTTATGAAATCAGAAGCAACTTGATTTAATTTACGGTAATGCATTAATCTTGTGAAATAGAATTTAAACCTTTTATTTCCATGAGCCAAACTATATCTATCTATCCATAATATCTAATTTAATTAAAATTACAGACTGGTAAAAATATCTATTATCAACTTAGAAAGCTCTACCCTCTTCCATCATCATATCTGGAATCAGAGGAGTTTCCGTAGCCTCTTCTCTTTTTCACATCTTGCTGAAGCAGAGTCTTGAAACTGAAACAAGGGGCAGAAAACAACAGAAATACCGCTTTCAACATAAAATGTATTTCCATGGTTTCAATTATATCTGTGAGAAGATAACTAAAACCAACTTAGTTCCAACCCCACATTTTTCAAAGCCAGCTGGACAGCACCATCTAGCACGAGCACATGTCTGCATTTGTGCCATGTTCCGGGCAAAAGCTACTATTCCTGTCCTTCATATGTGCTAATAACTGTCCTTGACGGAGTCTAGGAGTGACTCTGAAACGAGAGCCATGCCCAACTTCCTCCCTCCACTCTACGTCAGCTGTCAAGTCCCAGAGTCTGTTTTCACAGCATTGCACATTCATTTCCCCTGCACTTCCCCAGCCAACAGCCTACTTGATGGTACCTTGCTGAGGGAGGAGCCCAAGGTAGTATGCTAGAGACACAGGGCTTCTGGGAATCCATTTGGATGGAATTTTATTGGTAGAGGGAGACGAATTTAAGTTAAAACAATGTTTTTTTTTTTAAGTTGGTTTATTTATTTGCTTCCTTATTGATTGATTGATTGATTGATTCATTCATTCATTCATTCATTTAGAGAGACCATGAGCAGGGGAAGGGCAGAGAGGAAGGCGAGAGAATCTCAAGCAACCTCTGTGCTGTTAGCATAGAGCCCAGTGCAGGGCTCGAAATCACAAACCATGAGGTCATGACCTGAGCCGAAACCAAGAGACAGCCACTTAAGGGGCGGAGCCACCCAGGAGCCCCTAAACCAATACTTTAAATAAACAACAGAGAGTAGGCGAAGCTTGTAAGAGACTTTAGTGAAGTTTTGCAGTAGGCAAATTAAGGACCCTCTGTCCCACTGTATTTTTCTATGGAACCATCTCTTCCATTTTTTCTTTTACCCCTTTAAACTTATGCTACATGCAGCCATCAGATTATTTTTCTACACCACAGCTACAATCCAATTAAGTGTAAAGATCGCAGTCTGCTATTCAAACTTCTTTGCCGTCTTTCCTGTGTTTTTTCCACCTTCCACAATCACATCCAACCCAATACCCATTGTAATATGAATTAGAGTCAGTAAAGGAAGGGGTGATCTCTCATATCTCTGCATCTCTCCAGTTCTCTGCTATGT